CCCCCCCGCCAATACTTTAAGGATGTTCTACTACTGTCTTCTCACTTATGTTGTTTCGTATAAGAAATTTGCTATTATTCTTAACTTTGTTCTGTGTATGCAGTGTCTTTTTTTTTTTTCTTGGCTGCTCTTAAGATTTTCTCTTTATTACTGATTTTGAGCAATCTGATTGACATACCTGTGCACTTTTCTTCACATTCTTGGTGTTTTGGATTTATTGAGCTTCTTGGGTCTGTGGGTATATAGTTTTTATTAAATGTAGACCTTTTTTTTGACATCTCAAAATCTTTTTTTTTGCTTCCTTCATCTCCTTAGGGGACTTTGATGTTAGGCCACTTAAAGTTTTCCTATCGTTCACTGATGTTCTGTTTATTATTTTTAATTTTTTTGTCTCCTTGTTTCAGTTTGGATAGTTTCTGTTATGTCTCCAAGTTTGCTGATCGTCTGCCAATGTCTAATTTGTCATTAAGTCTATACAGTGTATTTTATTTTTCATCTCAGAAATTTTAGTTTTTATCTTGAAGTCCAATTTTGGTCTTTTTTCATAGCCTCCTAATCTCTACTTAACATATTTAATCTTTTATCTAAGCTTTTTGAACATGTGGAAGGAATTCAGTTGTAATAACCATTTTAATATCTTTGCTAATTTTGACATCTCCTGGGTTGATTTTGGTTGGTTGATTTTCTTTTCCTGTTTATTGTGGGTAGTATTGTCCTGCTTCTTTCCATGCCTGGTAGATTTTTATTGGGTGCTAGACATTGTGAATTTTACTTTGCTAAGCACTAGATATTTCGTATTCTGTTAAATATTCTTGAGCTTTGTTCTGGGACACGGTTACTTGGAAACAGTTTTATCTTTCTGGGTCTTGCTTTTAAGATTTGTTAAATGGGAGGAGATTAGTATAGTGCTAATTATTTCCTGTTGCTGAGACCCCTCTGAGTACTCTGCCAATTTCTCGATGAAATGAAGTTTTTTAGTCTGGCTTTGGGAAAAGGAAATAGCCATGGTTGTATATGAACTCTAGGTGGTCAAGCCTCTAATCCTTTCAGGTGGTTCTTTTCCTGGCCTTAGATATTTTCCTTACATATGTAGCTGATCAGTACTCTCTAAATGAGTTGAGGAGGATCTTTTACAGATCTTCATAATTTTCCTTCTGTGCTACTCTCCTCTCTGCTACCCTCTCTTGTGACTCTAGCCACACACTAGTCTCCCTGGCTTCTCAGTTCCATCTCCTCATGTCAGGGCATTCATCACATTTTGCCTGGATATCCCTTCCTGTGCCATGACTTGGAAGTTTTTGCAAAGCTCACCTTTTATTTTAAATTAACTTTTAATTATGGAAATCTCAAGTGCAAAAGTACAAAAGGTCCTTGAATAACATCATTTAGTTCAATGTTGTTTTGTTCTAATGTTGATGAGAAAAATAATCACTTCTTTTGTGTAGAGTTTGCACCTTTCCCCATGTTTTCTCCAAGTACTCTGGTTTTCTCCAACATCCCAGAGACGTACCTGTGAGGTTAATTGGTGTGTCTAAATTGTCCCAGTCTGAGTGAGTATGGGTGTGTGTGAGTGCACCCTGTGACAGAAGGGCGTCTTGCCTGGAGTGGGTTGATGGCCTGCACCCTGAGCTGCTTGGATAGGCTTCAGCCACCTGTGACCCTGAACTGAAATAAGTGGGTTGGAAAAACATTATTTTATTTGTTTTATACATCTTTCTTAAATGTATATATAGCTCACATTTATTTCAGTGTTTAATATTAGATTTGTTTTAGGTCTTTATTTAGAAGTTTGATGTTTTTGTGACCAGAAATATGCTGTAGGAAGTTTTGTTTGTGTCGGTTAGCCTATGGCAAAATTGGTTTTGTTATACATTGTTTTGCTTAAAGTCACAGTTTTTAAGGACCTATTGAAGGCATTAAGCAAGAACTTACTGTAGAGAGTATTTTATGGGATGCATCCCACATACTTATCACCCAACATCAGTAATACCATCTTTGAGAGAGTTTTGTTTTATCTTCTAAACTCTCTCCAACTCCTACACACATCCCACTGTACCCCCAACTCTCTCCCTTAACCCCTCTTGATTATTTTGAAGCAAGTCATATTATTTCAACTCTACATATTTTAGTATATATGAAGCCAAGGGGTTAAGACCCTTCAGAAAATATTTTTACTTAAAAAAAAAAGTTCGTATGCTAGTTTGGACTAACAGCCAGAAGAAGGAATTCACATAGCATGCTATTAACCATTACAGAAATTGCTTAGCCCAGGGCATGTTAGACTGCAGAGAAAAATAAATAACCAAGAGAGCAGAAATAATAATAGCATACAATGAGTAAGAGTCACAAAATATATAGTTTCTACCCCTGCACATCAAGATAACCTAGTAACATGTATTAAGATGTTTTTAAGCCAACAAAGCCAACAACCAACTGAAACGGAGGGTCCCGATTTTGATTTTACATGTAGCGCTAGCACTCTGTTCAGTTTCTTCACAGCATGCCTGCAAGCCCTTTCCCTTACTAGTAATTAACCCCCTGAGGCAGCCAGAAACAATGACCATGCTTTGACTAAAGGTCACAAGGTATGATTTCTGTTAAGCTAAAGGTAGCATCATGGTCTAAGTTGGGTTTCAGCTCTTGAGCCTTAAAGCTGAAAGACACCCCCGCTGCCCCCACCCACACCCCCTGGCCACATCCTCATGAAAGCAGACTGAAGGACTCAGAAACTGACCTCAAGGCCTGAAATAATGATTTACTGCCTTTATCTCACTCTTGACCAGTCAGCATGACCCAGAACCCAAAACCCTACTCATGATAATTTGTGATCTTTGTTCATAAAATTTCTTGTCTGTAAACCATTGAGGAGTTTAGACTTTTGAGCATTAGCTTCCTGTTCTCCTGGGTGGCACCATTCATAATAAAATGACCATTCTTTCCCTTTCGCAGTTCTTAGTGTTTAGTGCTTAGTTCTGCTAGTGCTGGGTAGATGAACTCTTTCTGTTCGGTAACATATATCTCTATTACATACAAGGCAATACCTCTTTTAAAAGTTTTGCCACAATAGCATCACCATACCTAAAAGTACTTAAGGAATACTACCTATTAATATTGTATCTTTGTTCAGATTTCCTTCAGTTTTGCTTGCTTGTTTATTTTTAAAGTTGGTTTGTTTGAAACAGTCCAAATAAGTTTACCTATTCATGTTTTCCTTTTAATTACCACCTCTCTTCAATTTGGGCTCTTGACATCATAAACCAGATTTTAACAGGAGCTCTCTGCCTCTCCTTTCCATAGCTATCAATTCTCTCCCAGCAAAGCTTTTGATCCATCTTGCTTCTTCCTACAATACATATGGTGATACCATTCTTAAGCTTAAAAACCTTCAGTGAATAAGCAAGATACAAAAAATGTATATAGTATGCTTTTCATTATGTAAACGTTAAAAGTGGTATATATGATTATATATCTATAGATTGTGTTAAGAAGGATTAACAGTTGTTAAGAAATTGTTAACAGTTGTTGCTTCCTAAGAGGATAACTGGATAACTGAAGTGAGAAGAGAATTTAGTTTTTTGGTATTATATTTTATTTTGTTTGAATAATTTTCTTTATGTAATTATATTTATTCATTTAAATAAAAACTTTTCAAATAAATACTATTGAATACTAAGAATATGAACCTAGTATTCGGGAACCTTCCACTTTGTAGCACCCACCTCTTTCCCATTTGTTCCCAGCTAGAATGCAGCTCTCTTACGTGACATGTGAAAATCATTCAGGGTGGCCTTGGTTGTTACAATGTCTAGAGATTGCTACCAGCATTAATGCACAGGGACACAGGATTCTAAATTTCCTGTAGCACTTAGTGTGGTCCTATCCAAAATTCCTTTAGCTCACTTGTGAAGATCATTTTTCTCCCCAGGGAATTTAAAATTTTATCCATTCTTTGGTTTTGGGTTATACCTAAGCTGTAGTTTGCCCATTCCTTAGATGTTCCATTCTTTCTATCTTAAATATCTTTAAAGTTTGTCTTTACCTGGTAAACCTATATTGCCTATTTTTTAAGTTATTTGTATATATAAGTTCTTTTTCACATGAGAGTTTGAACTTCTTATGGGGAATGATATGCTTCCTGTGAATTTTTATGATCTTTAGAAAGTTAGACTGTGTGTGCTTCAAAGTGTTAGAAGGAGATGGTAATGTGGCTACGTTATGTATTGTCACGGGAATCAAAGAAGTTAATGCATGTAAGGTATTTAGAACAGTATGTTATGTAGATAATAGTATGTTGCACAATATTTATATGTTGTAGGCATTCACTCAGTAAAATGTTTGGGATATTTGGAGTATTGATGAATAAATGAATGAATTAAACATTATTCTTAGTTTTCAGGAATAATTATAAATGCAAACTAGGGTTTTTTTTTTTGTTTTTTTTTTTTTTGCAACTAATATTTGTTAATTCAGGAAATAATAACTGAATGGTTCCTGCGTGCCAGGCAGCAATGCAAGGTGTTGAGAACACTATGGTCAATAAAGACTATATCTAGCCTTAAGGAGCTTACTAAAATATTTCATTACTTTTTGAAAGTTGAGTTTTATAAGGGAGTATTTTAGGGAGGAGCCTAAATTAGTTTTGGTGATCAGAGTAAAAATCAGCTTCTTTTGATTGAAAATAAATCTGAAGGATTCTTTATGGTATACCAAATTATTACACCTTTATTTTGCTTGCTTTAGAAGATAGTCTATCAGCCATTGTATCCAACATGATACTTAGCTGCCAACATAATTATTCCTAATAATAACAATGATAATAATTAGTAACTGTCTTTACCTCATATTAATGGAATTTTCGACATCTTTGAGAGCCTGAAATTGAGATTCTGAAAAGCATTGTTTCAAAGTATTGTTCAAAAGATTGGTTCTATTTATATAATGATTACTGTAAAATTAAGTATATTGTGAAATTTTTGTAAATTGTATTTCATTGTCATAATTAGGAGAGAAGCTTTGAAATTTGGCAAAATCTTGATTTTGATATTTGTGATTTTATATTTAGAATTCTTTGTATTCCTCTCCATATTAGGTATTAACTCCACAAAAGTTGGAACTGTTAAGAGCACAAATACAGCAAGAATTAGAAACTCCAATGAGAGAGCGTTTTCGGGATCTAGATGAAGTAAGTATATTGAAAGAACTATATATGTATACAAATGAGTATTGTCCCCTTCACTATGGACCCCTTTGGAAAGTTATAGTCTAGCGATGCTGCCATTGTACAAAATAGTTGTGGATTCTGTGTTATAAATGGCTTACTGGCTTGATAAAGTCATCTTTTTCATATCTTTCTGATGGATAACCAAAGCATTATGGTTTAGGAATAAATTTAATTTTGGGATATACACAAAGTCACTTAGACCCAAGGTAGGTGATCAAGTTCAGTAAAAGCATTTTTTAAAATATCAAAGCAAAGTATGATTCTAATAAAATCACAAAACCCATTTTCTTGGTTTGTAAACTGGCTTAGAAGAAAAATCTTTCAGCTAAAGATTTACAGGGAACTGAGTATTTTACGAGACTTCCTTGTTATTTAATTTCCTGCTACTTGTTGACATAGTGTCTCCTCTATTTTTCTGCTCTGTTGTCAAAGTTCTTATTGAGACTCAGAACGCCAGAAACTTTTGTAGTGTTAAGAAGCAGAATTGGAGCATACCAGGGAATTACATGTGTTCCTGGTTAGTTAAGAGAGTTGGTGCTATATATATTCTTCAGACCGATATGTTGAGTTGAACTATCAGTATAATATTTGATTGAACCTTAAATGACTGTACTAAAAGTATCCAAAGAATCTTTTATCTACTTTGAATTCATCCCATATGACTTTTAAGAGGGTATTTTATCTTTTATGAAATTATTTTTTAATCTATATTTTGAAAGGTATGCTACATTCTTAAGTATTATTAAGTCCAGAGATCAGAACTTTTGACTTGCTATACATTTTTATTATTATGAGAATCAGTGAGGAAATAAGGTTAATTGAATGGTAATTGGCTTTATTGATACCTTCTCAGAAATGTAGTAATTCTGTGTGTAGGATACTTGTTATGAGAACTTTTCCAAAGTTTGTTTGTACTTCTGTTAAGCTTATTTTTTACTTTTAGAATTGCTCTGAATATAATGTAATTTAAAATTATATTTGCAAAAGTGATTTTTGGAGTGAATACAAATTTCATTTATAAATTTGTGATAAATTGCAGTCTCCTTTTAATTTAGGAAGTTGAAAAGTATAGAGCTGAGTATAATAAGCTTCGTTATGAACATACATTTCTCAAATCAGAATTTGAACACCAGAAAGAAGAATTTGCACGTATTTTAGGTGAAGAAAAAATAAAATATGAATCAGAGGTGAGTGATTGATTATACTAATTTAGTTGTTATTCTAGTCAATAAAATTTTATGATTATATGTTTTTTGTAAATCTCAAGTTAGAGTTGATTGCATAATTAGTTTTATTGATTAATGGTGAACTATTGTGATTTTCATCTGCTATATAGGCAGCATTTTTCTTGTGAATGTTCTTTTGTGGCTGTTAGATTTTTCTATTCATTTCCTCCTTTATTTTGTTGCAGTCAGTGGCAATAGTCTCTTTTCTCCCATAGCCATAGAGGAAGACTTCTTTTGTCTCTATGATTTCTTATTCAGCACTGTCCCCCTCTCCTTGGAACCATACCCACATCTAGGAGAGCTCTGGCTGTCAGCCCATTCATCTTGTTTCCATTTATGCAAACAAGGTATACCTTAGAGTATGCCCGTCACCTTCAGGAAGCGTACTTTGTTCTTTGACACCTGCAACTGCAAAATCCCCCATCTGCTGCCTATAGCATGCACTCCTGCTTTATCTCTAGTGCCTTGGCAGTTTCTCTGCTCATTTTGTGGTTTGTCTCCTAATATTCTCCAAAATAGGGTTTGTGTTTCTCATTCTTTATGTTGCTTTTAGATGATTTTTCAGGATGGAAAGAGAGAAATGCCAATTTTATCCTGCACTATTCAAATAAGAAATCTAATGCTAGGAGAATTTGTAAAAAATAGTTTGTCATTTATAGTTATATGAAATGTACTGTGTATAAACACATCTGCATCGTATATTTATTGTGTTGCCTTTATTCAGAATCAAGAGTTAGAATATACTCACTTTCCTTTACCAATAACTTATTGGATCAAACTGATTTATATTTATCAGTGAACAAACTGTTCCATGATTGTTTGAAATGTAAGAAGCTGTATGAACTTTAGATCATTTGAGTTCATTAATAATACAGTATCAGAAAACTATAAATATTTATAATAGTCTTTTGCATTAAAAAAATTCTTTATAGCTTTAAATCCTTTATTCATATATGATCTCACTTCTAATAGTGTCTCCATTTTAAATTAGGAAACTGAAGCACAAGATAAGTAACTTCCTCAAAGTCTCAGAGTCAGCATCCAAGTTAACAATAGACTCAGGTACCCCAACACGGAGTCTAGAGGTATAAGTTTGAAAATTCCCATGATTTGAAGTTGTCATGATATTTAGAAGCCATCCGACAGCTATAATTTCATCAGGAGATCAGTCGATCTATACTATGTGTGATGATGAAAGGATTTGAATCTGTAATTATGATAGACTTAAAAGAACTGCATATAAAAATTTCTTGTGGAAAAAAAAAGAATAATAAAGATTCCCAGCCTAAAATATAGATTTAGTATATTGAAGAGTAAATACTGAGGTTAAGAATAGTGCTTTATTTTTCACTTTTTTACTTTACTTTTAAAATCTAATGATGTTTATCTGGTAATGATTATTTGTATTCTTCAGTTTATTTTATTTTTTAAAGAATGAAACTTGTATCTGAAATCTGACAACTAATCTATTTTTTACCCGTGAAAGATCAAATAATAGTCATTAAAAAATTTAAGGGGTTAATTTTCATATTTGGAATATCTTACGACATTCTTAGAAATCTTAAGGTAAACAGCTAGCTGAGAAGCCATAATTAGGAGAGGCTAGAAAAGTAAAACATTCTGATAAGACCAAACTTCTTTTCTTTCTACTTCCCAATTGATTATGCAGGAGCAATGTTAATTAGTGGATAATCGGGTATTCACTTTTATTTAATCACTTATCTTTGTACTCCAGTTTCTATACATAATAACAATAAAATCTAGTGAGATGATTGTGGATCATGAAATAGCAGTAAAACTTCAAAGCAAAGCCTACTCTTGCCATTCTCCAATCTTACAATTTAAAATGGTATAAAATATGTTAATTTGATGTACTAAAATAATTGAATTTTCTTCCATGAGTGACTCAAAGTGTATGTACTGTTCATTTTTACTTCTATAGATAAAAGAAGTAACTGAATATTCTTTAGTGTGTTGGTTCTTAGGGAAATACTTTAGGAAGATTTTGTTAGTGTTTTCCTGGGAAACACTCCAGGAATTCATGTCTCCCTCATGATATTCTGAATTATAAAGAATATATGAAAGACGATATCTTATGAAAAAGATAATGTCATGATTTCTCAATGCATTTGGTTTTAAGTACATACTAAGTCTAGCACTTTATACAGAGTACATACTAAGTCTAGCACTTTACACAAATTCTGAAGTTGCCTATATAAAAGAAGCAGGAGTAGCTATATTAAGATAGAGCAAAGAAAAATACCAGAGGTAGACATTATATGACAAAAAAGTCCATTCACCAAGAAGTCATATGAAGACTATTTGTGTATGAACCAAATAACTACAAAATATGTGAAGTAAAAACTGATAGAACTAAAAGGAGAAATAGACAAATTCACAATTACTATTGGAGATGTCAGACTCCTGTCTCAACAATTGATAGAACAATTAGTAAATCAGAAAGGATGGTAGACCTCAACACCATCAACCAACTGAATCAACTCAACATTAATAGAGCACCCAACAAGAGTACCTAAATACATTCTTTTCAAGTGGCCACTGAACATGTACCAAGATAGACCAATATCCTGGGCTATAAAAATAAATCTCTACAAATTTACAAAAATTAAAGTTACATACAGTGAGGTCTCCAACAACTCTAGAATCGAACTGGAAACCAGTAAGAAAGGTGGCAAGGAAATCTTCAAGTGAAATGACACACTTCGACTAATTCATGAGTCAAAGAGGAAATTTCAATGAAAAACATAACAATGAAAAACAATTTCAAAAACAATACATTGACTTGAATGAAAATGAAAATGCAGCAAATTAAAATATTTGGGACACAGCTAAAGCAGTGCTGGAGAGGAAATTTATAGCACTAAATTCATTCATTAGAAAAGTGTCAAATCAATAATCTAAGTCTCTACCTTAAGAACATAGAAAGGATCAAAATAAACCCAAGGAAAATAGAGGGAAGGAAATAAAGAGTAGAAACCAATGAAATTGAAAACAAGAACAGTAGAGAAAAATCAGTGAAGCAAAGTGCTGATTCTTTGAGAAGACAAATAAAATGACAAACTTCTAGCTAAACTGACAAAAAAGAAAGAAGACACAAATTACCTATATCAGGAATGAAACAATATCACTACAGACTTTACAGACATCAAAAGTGTTGTAATCTTTTTATGATATACAGAGATGAAGAACTCTACCCAAATAAATTTGACAAATAGATGAAACAGGCACATATACTGTAGGTTGGCCCATATGAAATAGATAATTTGAATAGCCATATAACAAGGAAACTAAATTCATAATTTAAAAATTCCCCAAAAGAATGATTTCACTGGAGAATTCTACCAAGTGATTTAAAAAAAAAAAAGGAAAAACAATTCTACACAATTTCTTCCAGAAAATAGAAGAGGAGGGATGGTAGCAGTGGGGGAAACTGGGTAAAGGGTACACAGGATCTTTATTATTCCTTACAACTGAATGTGAACCTAACATTATCTAAAAATAAAAGTTTTAATTAAAAGTAACCAGAGAAAAAATGATAAGAATAACAACAGACTTCTTTTGGGAACTAATACAATCCCAAAGACAGAGTAGTATCTTTGAAATTCTGAAAGAAAAAAAAAATTTAGGCCCTTTGATTACAGAGCCTGTAATCATACTATACTCTTAACTGTTTCTCTATGCTGCATCATAAAGATAATAAAAACAAAGACAGATGGAGCAATTAGATATACTGCCTTTTCCTTTCGGGTGCCCTGGGGAATTGAGTGGTGCTACCATTTGTTGTAAAGAAGATCAACAATTATTCCTAGCTCCTAATATGTTTCTGTTCCATTTCCTTCAACAATTTTTTAAAAGTAAAATTGGTTAATACAACATCTTTCCTGTCAAGTAAGTTTATATTTTCCAAGAGCAGAGTAAACATGGAAGTAACAGTAATAAGGCAGATTTGGATAAATGTCATAAAAGAGAAATTCAAACAAAGCCTTTGGAAATTTAGAAAAAGAATTGAGAGCACAACAAATTGAGGATATCGAGAAAGATGACATTGAATCTGAGAGTGTAGGAAAAAAGAAAAGGTGGGGATACGTCTAAGAACTGTGCCCAAATGACTGGGACAAGAGTGGTATCATAGCAATGATTGAATATAAGCTTCTTGATAGCAGAGGTTTTGTGATTATTTGCTTGTCTACTTGGTTCTCCAATATATCCTTACTACCTAGAACAGTGCTGGGTACATAGTAAGTATTCAATAAATATTTGTTGCATGACAATAAATGACCAGAGAGGCTAGAAGCCATTGGTCACCAATTTTGGTAGGAATGATCTGATAGTGAACTCTAGTTGAGGAGTTGTAAATATGAGACCTAATCTTGACTTTGCCATTAACTAGCTTGGTCCATAGTTTCAGCAGTCACTTCAGCTATCACAGATGCCCCTCAGAACTGTTAGTGTTAGAGAAAGTAATAATATTGGAAACATGCTGGTCAAGAACTTAACTGTCTGACCCCATAGAGAAAAATCAGAGAAACAAGACTATAAGAGAAATTACTGTTACTAAATGCAGTTTTATTTGTAGCACACTCAGCATTCAGTAAAGTACTCACTAAAGGCACCATTGTCTGAACCTTAGATATATATATACATTGACTCCTGCCTGACCTAGTTGAGCTGCTACACCTCTGATATTTGAGTTACCTCATGCAAAAGGTATCTTAAAGATATTCCAGCCCAAGCTCTTCATTTTAACTGAGGCCAAAGTGAAAAAATGACTTGCATAAAGTCACATAGTTTAAGGAAAGAGAAAATGGAGGAAAAATGGCAGTTAGGGACCAAACCCCAGGGGTAATGTTTATATATAAAGGGTGGGAGGAAAAATAACGTGACACTAATTATTTAGGCTTTTGAGGGCGTGGCTCTAAATTCTACAGCTGCCTTCTAAGAAAATATTTTCTGGAAAAAAAAATTTTTGCCTGCTGGTTAGCTCTACTTATATTTCCCATTGATATCTTTAATTCAGCACGTCCAAAACCAAATTGCAGTCACTGCATGTTAAAACTGAAAAGGATCTTAGAGGGCCTCCACTCTAACCTTTCATTTTACAGGTGAAGAAAACAGATTCTGCCCTGGGGTGGAGGTCTCACACTTTTATTGCAACGTGAGCAATCAGTTGTCTCTTGGGTCACTTCCGCCTAGGTTACAGAGCATTTCTTTAAGTCCTTTTGGTTTAGAATGAGCCTTCTAAGCTCGTCCTGGCATCGTTGGTGTTTAGAGCAGTGGTTTCTACCTTTTTAAAAAACAGCTGAATCCTTTCTAGAAAGAAAGTTGAATCATCTGAAGAAACCTCACAAATGAAAGAATGAAAAGAGGAGGTGCCCTGGTTAAAATGAAGATTTCGTGATGGTGATAGAGGACGGATAGTTTGGGAGATCAGGAAAGGGAAAGTGAGTTTTTTGCCCCCTCATTCCTGGAGATGAGGGGCCTCTGAAGTGTCTCAGAGATTAGGAGGCAGTTTGAAAACCAGTGATTGGAAGACCCGTGAAATCTGGAAGTGATGGTTGTCATGAATGAGAAGATCATTGGTACTTTTGTTCTGCGAGTTCCCCACTGACTTTTTCAAATGCCTTAGAGTAATGATTTTCATTTCTTTCTTGAATCTGAGAATTAGGAAATAGGACATCATCACAACTAGGACTTTAATAAATTCTCAGCTGTTATTTAAAAACTCTTTCATCACTCAGATTTGTAGTTATTTTTATGGACAAGCAGCTTTTTTTGTGAATTAAGTTCCTTCAGAATAGATCATTTTATTAGTATAGACATAGCCTAAGAATTACTGTCACATGAGGAACAGCTTAGCGGTAATCAGCATATTGATCATGCATAAACCCCCATAAAGTTCTGATGAATTTTAAAATACTTGACACATTTTTAATAATTATTTTTACAGTAGTATAATTTTGAATTTTATTTGACAACTCATGAAGCCTTGTGCTAGACACCATGGGGAGGTAGAGGAAAAATAAGACAAAGTACTTGCCCTTACATTTGAGTACAGAATCTTACATTTTACGTTTTTTCCTTGGTAATTCATTTCACCACCTGAGCTTTCTTACATTGTGCAACTTTTAATTTACTGGCTTGTAAGCATGTTCATTACTAAAAATTTAATAATTTAATGTTGTATGCTTTCTTTCAAATTATTATTAGATTGTAAGACTGGAGGAAGATAAAGAAGAACTCCATAAGCAGCTGCTTAGTGTGGATCCCACAAGAGACAGCAAACGAACGGAGCAGCTTCTTCGAGAAAAAGTCCAGTTGTGTCAGAAATTAAAAGGTTTAGAGGCTGAAGTAGCAGAATTAAGGGCTGAAAAAGAGAATTCTGGTGCTCAGGTAGAAAATGTTCAGAGAATTCAGGTGCGGCAGTTGGCTGAGATGCAGGCTACCCTTAGATCCCTGGAGGTGAGTTTTTAATTGCTTCCCGGTAGAGTATGGCACACTTTTTTTTAAAGTGCAGTTGACAAGCCTTTGATTTTTAGAGCCTAAATGTATGCTCACCAATCTAATGCTGACGCATTTGTGGAATCCCAAGAGTATATATTCTTTTTGTAAAGAGAAAAGCTATTGATTCATAAGCAATAGCTATGCTGCCACACATACAAAGGGATTATTTCTTCTTTGGGAGTCAGGTCACCTATCTGAAATAATTTAACTGTCACAGTGCCACAGAGTAGAATATGCAGAATGCAAAAAAAAAAAAAAAAAAAATTGTTTTAGTTTCTGAAGACTATAGTTACATCTCAAAAGAGAAAGAACAGTTTCTTCCTAGATAGTTATTTCCTTATAGTGGGATTCGGGATCTCAAAATCATATCTTACGACAGCTTCTTGCTAAAGTTATAAAATTCATCTTGGCTACTATTACATACAAGGCTTCACTGAATTATTTCCCTGAGTTCATTAGAGAAAGATAAGAGTTGACAGAGTTAGGCTGGTACTCCTGGAGGTACTCTTCAGTCAAAATTCTTGGTTTCATTTTTGGAGAGGAAAAACTTTTCCTCCATCCTCTTAAGTTCTGTGGTTGGGGGGTTGTGAATTAAACTGACAACAGACTTTAGTAAGAGAAAAGACAGCTTTTCATTCATATATGTACATGGGAATTCACAGAGAAAATGTGACACAAAGAGGCAGTTAGAATTTGGGCTTATATACCATCTTAATAGAGAAAGGAGAAGGGGTGAAAGGGCACTTACAGGAAAACAAATGACTTAGAAAGATAAATGAGCCTTTAGGAAAGTAGATGGAAGATATGACAGTTTTGTGACAATGTATATGTAGATGATCTCTTATCCTGATACTAACTTCTTGTCTCCCGCATTAGGAGTTAGTCTTCCCTAGTTATGAAACCACTGGGGAGGGAATTTATAACAGTTAAATTCTTTTCTGAGTGTCTGCTTTTAGGTAGATAAGAGGAGGTGAGGAGAACCCTTCCCCCCTTTTTTAATGTCTTTGAATTCTCAAAAGTTTTCAGCTCAAAATAAATTATGACACAGTGGCAAGGCATTCTGACCCCTTATACCATCTTTTCAGACATGCTTACCCCTCCTAGTTGTCAGTATCTAACTCGTAGCAAATATACTAGTTTTATTGTTTTGATTTATTTTGAGCAGTCCAAAGATTTTTTTTTTTTTTCCATTCATATAGTTGTGAAATGATTTGAGGTGGAGGGAAATTAGCGGACACCTAGTTTGTAATCAAAATCCAATATCAAATCCAAAGTAGTAATTTTTTTTCCCAGCCAGCAAACTTGTACAGGGAGTACATGGATGATTTAAAGAGAAGTCATCTTTTTATTTCTGGACGAAGCTTTTGATAGTATTTACTGGTCCAGAACTAAAGTTGTCACTATCATTGGACCTTAAGACATGAGGCAATTGAGAATGAGACTTTATGTTTCCATCCTGCCATCCTTAACGTATTTTATAGTGACAGAATAAGTAGTTGGTTTCAGTTGAATATATTATATGGTCCCAGTGTGAAACTTTTCATTGAGATCATTTAGAGTGATTATTTTCAGGACAAGTTAAATGATGACAGAAGAGGTTCATTGTCACGTTTTCAGAAGAGCCTGTATTTAATTTTTTATCATTTGTGAGATGAAATGAAAATAAGTACACGACAGCAAGCATTACTTTCTTCTTCGACTTTTTTTGGCTATCATTGTGCCCAGAAAATAGCATTTTATATTTGAGGAAAACAGTTTTTTTCTGAATTATTTGAATACACTCCTTATATTTAAGATATATAGGAAGTGAGATGTTACAAAACCGAAGCTTCTCTTTTAAATGCCAGACTTTTAAAAAAATTTATTATTATTTATGCCTACAGCACCTGGTCTTCCTAGGTGGTCTCCCATCCAAGTACTAACCAGGCCCAACACTGCTTGGCTTCCGAGATCAGACATCAGGCTTGTTCAGGGTGGCATGGCTATAGACTATGGACCGTGGCTCCACTGCTGTGCAAACCCAGGACCTTCTGCATGTAAAGCAGACATGCCAACCGCTACACTGTGGAACCACGTCCCAAACATTTTTTATTTTAATTATTTTGATTAGAAATATTTTTTAAAAGCATTGTTTTCCATAAGTAAAGAGTACTGCGAGTATTACCAACCAGAAAATTTTGACAACTTATAGTCTTCATTAAGAATCTTTATTATGTAATGAGGTCAAGAGCTATTGACCTCTGCCCATACTTCTAAAGCCTCCAAATTAGTTCAGTATTTTGAATTCATTCATTCATTCATTTAATCTCCATTGATTTTAGATTTTCAGTTCTTTTTAACTATTATAAATGAGTCCTTCCTACTTCTAATATGCTTTTTCATATCTGCTATGGATTTGAAACCCCCAAAATGTGTGTTTGAATTATGTCAGCAGTAAGAGTAAATATATATCAAATGAGTGCACTCATAAGAGAACTATATGAGTTTTATTTCATTGGGGGCTCTTGATATGTTGTTTGTTCAGATAGCTTTGTTGCATTTTTCCTGGAGCAAACATCTTTCATTTGAATCTATAAAATACCTAGAGAAAGTCTTTTTCTTTAGTACATGTTAATATTGCTGAGATTTTGAATAATTTTGGGTAGTATGATTATAATAAATTTTAAATAGTGCTTACAATATTTTTATAGAATTATGAACAAATTTTAAAATATTTTGTTTTAATAAAAGGCTGAAAAACAGTCAGCTAAACTACAGGCTGAACGCTTGGAAAAAGAGCTGCAATCAAGCAATGAACAAAATACTGTTTTAATCAGTAAATTGCATAAAGCTGAACGGGAAATAAATACATTGACCAGTAAAGTAAGTCATCTTATGTTCTACTTTACTCTTTATAATGCTTCATACTGTATAAATGACAAAAAAATTTTGCATTTAGTTTAGTTCTCTATATTGAAATATTTTTTATTCTTTTATTCTACTTTCCAGATACAGAATGTGAGCAATTTTTATCACATTCACCATGATCAATCTAGTCCAACTCATTTTCTCTCTAGCCTCAATTTTTACAATAGCCTCCAAACTGGTCTCTTTACTCTTTACCCATTTAGAGCTCGGTGTGATCTGGCCCCTGCAGTCTTTCCACAGCCATCACAGTCCATTTTTCTTCCTGTTCACTTTGCTCCAGTCTTACTGGCCTTCTTACTCTTTGAGGAAGCTTACTTCTACCTTAGGGCCTTTGAACTTGTTCACTTGGCATTATCTTCCCTCACATATTTACTTCTCTTGCTTCCTCATCTTTTTCAGATGTGGCCTTATCAGAGAGGCCTTCCCTGTCTTCTCTTTGTAAAATACCATCTTCCCACTTCCTCTGTCCTACCCTCTATCTTCCTTATTTGCTTTTTCTCCATAGCTCTTAATACCATCTAATATATTTGTATTTATTTTTGTCTCTCCTTTTCTTTCCCATCCCTTTTCCCTCAACCAAATATAATTTCCAAGAGCTCAGAGACATTGCTATTACTGCTGTATTACTCCTGGAACAGTTCTGGCACACAGTAGGCACTCAATAAATGTTAAATGAGTAAATATTAACAGCATGATCTGCATTTGTTATTTTAAAAAGAATATAATGGTTTGAACATCTTTAATATACAGAGTTGTCTCAGGGACTTATAGGTTCCCCCCCTCAAATGCAATAGATGTTAGGAATCTAGTAACCAGAAATAGATTAGCAGTGGTAAAGTATTTTATAGAATACTCTAGTGAATAAGAATATCAGCTCTGGAGTCAGACATACTGGAATCAAATTTCATTTCTTTTCCTTACTAGCTATGTGACCTTGGACAATTTATGTTCTCTCTGAAAACTAATGTTTTCCTTTATAAAACAACACTAATACTTACCTTATAGAGTATGACAAAAATTAAACGAAATATTATACATAAAGCACTTAGCATAAAGTTTAATATATAATTATCCAAGTATTAGCTGTTATTATATTAGCCAGTAGTAATAGTAGTAGCAGCACCAGCAGCAGTGCTGGTACTAGTAGTACTAGTAGTACTTGGGCATCTCTAAGAACTTAGAAATAAGACTGGTTACTAAGTCAGTGAAATACATATTTTCTATCAGAGCAGAGTTATATAAAATCACTTTAAAAAACAAAATGGCTTCCAGACCAGAAGGAATTTACTGTAGCCTGGTAGATATGTATGAACTTATCTAAAGGGATATTATATTCATCATAAATTCCTTGGCCAAGGAATTACTTGAAAAGACTCAGGCAGTGTTTATGATAAAGAGTTTTAGTCAGAATGTAAATATTCTAGTCCCCTTGAAAAGATTATTCTTAACTGTGGAACAATGTGGATCATTCTTACACTAATCTGGCCATGAAACAATTGATCTCATTCCATTTGTTCGATTTGAATGATCAAGAGCACTCTACTGTAAGAGACGTCTCTCAGGAAGTAGCCAAGCTATTTTCTGACTATTATTTGACTTCCATGTAATTTTGTCTATAGAGAGAGAATACACTGGTTCTTCAGACTTAGAGCATTTTAGTTTCCATTATATTTTTTTCTCGTAATCTATAAACTGACCTTCTAATTTTATAGATTACTTTTTGTAAACATTATTAATGTGGATCTAACCTTGAGAGTCTTCTTTAAGTGTGGTAACAAAATTGGATTTCTGTGCCTGAAAGGCCAACACCATAATACTAGATGTATTAGATTAGATGCCGCCCTTGGGAGATAATCTACCCAATTTTTTTTATGACAAACACATATGCTTTTACATTTGCAGATTATATGTCTAGTGACATTTCACATTTTTGTTTGAATATCTATACTTTACAGTTTACAAAGTGGTTTTATAGCCAATGTCTCATTTAATTCATTAGACACGGCTGACAGTAGAAAAGAAAGAATAAGTGAAAATTAAACAATGAGATTTTTAATTGTTAAAAATTTGTAAATCAAGAGTAGTCTTCTAACGAGCTTATAGGTTGAAATTTAGATATATTTAAAAATTAAAAACTTGTTTTGGAGGAGGTAATGAAGTACAATGAAAAAGTTCGTGGGCTTTGAATCATGGCTCATTCAACTCACTCACCACCTATGTGACTTCTGACTTGCGTAACTTTTAAATGGAAATAATACCTATCTCTTAAAAAGGATTTTCGTAAGATTAAAGTTGGTATTGAACATAATAAATAGTCGCTGGTGATGAAAATGATAACGGTATACTCTTGTGATATTCTTAAATGAGAAGATGATGTGACATAAAGAATACATAACTTTGAGCCAATGGACTAATTTCATTCTTCACTGTATCAGTAACTGTGTATATGACTTTAGGGTAGTTACTTGATATCATTGGGATCCAAGTTCCTCATAGACGAAATGAGACATTGTTCTAGCTGATTTCTAAGAATCCTTCCAGCCTACTAAGATTGTGTAAATCCTACTAGAAAATAAATAAATTGATTGCTTCCTGATTAAATAAATTATATATTCAATAAATACATACTGAGTGCCTACAATGATAGAGTACACAAAGAAGTAGATGCAAAATACAAAGAAGTAAATTCAGGACATGAGTTCTCTCATACTTTTCTTTCCAATTCTGGTATAGGTTATTTTCAATTTTGTGGGGAAAAAAATGGGTATTCAGTATTTTCAAAACACTGTCCTGAACCTGAGTAGCCAAACTGAACTGCTGGAATAACCTGAACCATAGATGGAGCAACAGGACATTGGATAAGATGACTTTTTGCTGTGTCTTCTAACTCTCGGGGACCAACAAATACTTTTCTTGCAGCATATTTTACTTCAGCTCCCTGGCTTACTTGTGTTCTGACCCTAATTTTTCTTTTTCTGCACGTAACCTTCTCTGTTGCTCTTTTTAGAGTTAGCACTTAGATGATTTTCCTACTCTGCTGAAGAAAGAAGAGCATGTTAACATAGTATTATTTCTCTGCTTATTTATTAATATACATTGCTAAGAGCTGCCTGTCTTTTTAAAGACACACTTGCATTATTTTGCATATAAATGGCATATTAAAAATCACCCTTCAACTTTAGACAAACCAAGTTTTCATTTAAAACATTCCAAGTAAAAAGATTTCATTGGAAGGATGAATTTTAAAATAATATTGCAAACATGATTGTCACAATTTTCTTTGCAACTTGAAATTTTCATCAGCATTTTGCAATTCTAGCAAATGGTTGTTTGCAATGCAAAGGAACACCTGGGGTGTATTCAAATTTGTAAATGTTTGTTAGCTTTTTAGATGGAGTTATGTTAGTGCGATTATATGTCATGAATTAAAAAGTATTAACTAAAGATGGCCTGAGAATGATGACTTTAAAGGTATTTCACATTTAATGAGATAAGTTCGTTACCTCATGATGTGTTTCATCTTTAGAACTCCAATAAAATATACAGCTTTAAGGAAGTTATTAGCTAAGTTAATAAAGTCATACCATCTCAGACTTTTGAAAAAAATCAGAATTTAAGTACTATCTCTTTGGAATTTGCATCAAGAGCTTCTAGAGTAATACATTTTTTCAAGTATATTTCTTGCTTACATATTGTTTTCTTGCATTTCTCTCTGTAATTTTACAGATTCTTGAACACTGTAAAATGCCACTATTGCCTTTTTTTTTTTTTAATATAAATTTTGTTAGTAGTAGTAATAATCTCTGGGTATTTGCTTCTGCTGTGTTAAAAGCATGAAGTGAATTTACAGTGTAGGGGCCAGGATCTACATAAAAACAAATTATGGTTGGGCTGGGGACGGGGGCAACCCAGGGAATCTTGGCCCATGGAGTTTCAGAAGACTGTGAACCTCTTGAAATTATATGCAACATTTTAACATTGGCATTTCGTATAGGAAAAGATTCCTAGTTTACCTAGGATTTTTGAGGCCTATTCACAAAGAAGGTTAAGAACCAGGAATATAGAGGCAGAAAGAAAGTATTGTGACTATTTGGGATTTGGTTCAGATTACTGATAGAAAGTGCTGTTATTTGCATATCTAAACAATAAGATTTATATGATTTTTTTCGTTTTCAAAGAATAATTTCTTTACATATATTTTTAGGAAGTTAATTATCAATATTAGTGCATTCATTATTTTAGGATTATACAAATGTGACACTAAAGAAAAACTTAAATTTACCTAGCTCTATAGATGGGTAAATTTGAATGCAGAGAGGACAAGTACCTTGCTTGAGCATGTACTTACTAGTTTAAAAGCAAAAGTAGACCTGAAGACAAACTTCACTTGTTTGACTTCCTGTTCAATGTTCTTTCAGTTTTAATAAGTTGTAATTTAGTTTTCTCATTTCAGTAAACCTCAGGATGGAATGAATTAAGAAATAAGATTTTATTTCATAGTTCTTATTGAAATGAGTCAAGATCCTACAAAATAAGATGGCTCTAATTTTTCACTTTATATTTAAAGCAGCAACAGTGTGGTTTGTTAACGAGCTACTATGTCATTCAGCCTTTTATAGTTAGTATATAATAGCAGGTTATAATTACATTTGTCACAGATTTTGGATTTTCATTGTAGTTGTATTTCTTCAAAAATTTAAAGCACTTATAGTTTAAATTGTCTGTCCATGAAATTATAATGTAGTACAACCCAAGCTACAGAAAGTTTAAGTTTAAATATTTCTTAGCTGCTTTCATGTAGTTCAACATTGTGACTATGAAACTTCCTTTCATAGAGAAGAACTTTAAAAAGATTTAAAAATCCAAAACTGATGTAAGCACAAGGTATTCATTCTATGTATTGTCATTTAAAAATCTACGAGTTAATTTAGAGGTTATATTTTAATGTGATTAGCAGTTAAGAGGCAGTATAGTACTTGCTTTACTGTTTGTTTCCTTGCAGTAGAGATTTTGTACTAAACCATTTCTTACAGTGTTTTCAAGACCTTTCAGAGATGGAGTCTCTTTCAGAAAGACACTTCTGTTTCTCATCTTTGTCCTCTATGGCTCTTGGACCTCTTCCTGATTTGTTTTTAATTCCCAACTCTAGTTTTTATAGATTACTACACTCAAGTAAATCATCCTTTACCTTCCTGTTCCCATAATCTCACATTTTACATGTTTGGCTTGTATGTATTTGTGGTTTTCTACTCTGATTTCATAGTTTTATGCATTAGTATAATATGTTAGAATGCAGGTTAATATAATTTTTATATCTGTATTGCTTAAATCCTCATTATAGTACTGTACCTAATTTTAGAAGCACCTTACTGAAGGGAAGGGATATGGAAAATATTAATAGTAGTGCAGATTATTGGAGAGAAAAATCTTGCTTATTTGCTGCTTTATCCCCAGCTCTTAAACAGTGCCTAGTACATAGTAGGTGTTCAATAAATATTTATCAAATGAGTGAACAAATACTGTTGATAAACTAGAATTATTTAACTTTCAAAGGAATGGCTCAGAGAAGACTAAAAATGGTGTGTGATGGGCTAATTATATAGAAATCATTGACAATTATTTACATTTACTCAGGGCTTTAAAATGATCAGGTTTTGACAATAAAGGTTTAATTTAGATTTATACAATTTATATTTGTTCCTCCCACTACCACTATGTGCACGTGCACACACATGTACACATATACACGTGTTATTTAGTCACCAAATTCAGGTGATCCTTTTTTCTTGCCCCCTTTTTTGATCCTTTGCCTCTTAGTTTCTTTACCTTCAGATTCTTAATCCAGCACATTTGCCTTCCTCTGCTCTACATATAAGTAACTCTTTGCTTGTTTTTCATGCAGTGTGATGTTATAACTATGCAACATTTTCTATGCTGTTCCTTTTTCTATGCTATTCCTTCTTGTCACCAACGCTTTTTATTATTATTATAAAAGGAAGGACTCTTATTAAGAAAAGACTGTTTTCTTGGTGCCAAGCACTGTTCCTGGCACTGAAACACCTTCCTTCCCTCCCAGAAGGATCGTACTCGGTACTATGCTACCACAGCATTTTCTCATTTCTACTGATGTGTTTGGGTAAAGAGTTAATGGCAAAAAAAAAAAAACAAAAAACAACCAATAGTAATTTCAATTTCTAATTATCAACAGGTAAAAGAACTTAAACACTCAAACAAACTAGAAATAACAGACATCAAACTGGAGGCAGCAAGAGCTAAGAGTGAGCTAGAAAGAGAAAGAAATAAGATTCAAAGTGAACTGGATGGTAATATATACTTTCCCATGCTTTTTACTTTTATTTTCACATATAAACTAAAATTATTAAAATAGATCAAACTAAATTTTTATTTCCAGATTTTCAGCTTTAATGGAATTTTAATCTTAGAGCACATATGGATTGTTTTTGTTTATATGTTAAATAGTCATCTTTGATCTAACTTTTTAAAGTCAGTATTATGTTTATATCATAGTTATTTGATTAATACATAAATTAAGTGAAACTTTACAAATGGGATTCCATACTTCCTGGGTTTATAATTTTATATTTAGATCATGTGATTATTAGTCTCAGGCCATCTTAAGTCTAAAGAATATAAGGAAGATAGGTGGGTTCCAGGTTCCATTTTTAAAATAGACCCTAGGCTAGTTATTGAGCCTAGTTCAGCCTAGGCTTATTTTTAAGTTCCAGTTTAGTTTTAGAATGTCTTTTTCATCAAGATTCTTTAGAAATTATATTATTCCTGACTTAAGTACTTAAATAAGCTGCCTTTGGTCTGTAACTGTCCTTGAATTGGTCTTTAGATAAAATGGCCTCTGTAGTTTCAGACAGAGCTTATGATGAATGATTGTTTTCCTTATTAATTTCTACTTGATGTTGACTCATGGATTTATAGAGTTATTAGGGAGTACATTTTCTTAGGAACATAAAGAGTTTGGGAATCCAGTTCTGCGTTCTTCTTTAACTTTGAGTTAGATATGAATTTTAGTTCTTATATCTATAAAATGCTTGCCATCTCATTACAAGAAAGATTTGTGAATTCATTGGACAAACTTGAAAGTTTCCAATTTATATTTCTACTAGACATCTAACAGTTCTGCAAGAATGATGGATTTTGAAGGGTTCTGTGATGTTATTCACTTTGCTTCCAGCCATTTTTATGGTGATGGTGTCTCTGGGGCTTAGATTACAGAACCCTTTTAGAGGTGAAGTAAGTATTTAAATTGCTTTAGATATCATCTGGTTGATGTCCCTGGCTCTCAAATGAATAAATGTACATAACTTTTTATTAATATTTTTGTGAGTTTTAGTCTCTTTCATTCTTATGAAGTTTATCAATGTAATGATTCTTGAGAGAATATATATCCAGAGACTGACTTTCTACACTTCTCATTGTATTACCATCTTATGAATGCTTGCTGTTAAGTGCGATTTTTCATCTTAATAGAATTAAATATGGTACATTTTTTTCAAAAAATACTAGGATTGCAGTCAGACAATGAAATTCTCAAATCAGCTGTTGAACACCATAAAGTGCTCTTAGTAGAAAAGGATCGTGAATTAATACGTAAAGTACAAGCTGCCAAGGAAGAAGGTTATCAAAAACTTGTGGCATTGCAAGATGAAAAGTAAGTACATAATTACCTTATTTTGTGTTAAATCTCCTTGCAAATGAAAACATTTTGCTGTCATATTATCCTTATTGAGTTTTTGTAACATAATCATCATCTGTTGTTTTAGGCTAGAACTTGAGAACAGATTAGCGGATTTAGAGAAAATGAAAGTGGAATATGGTGTCTGGAGACAATCTGAAAAGGATCAGTGTGAAGAGAAATTGCGGGCTTCACAGATGGCAGAAGAGTCGGCCAGAAGGGAACTTCAGAGTATTAGGTTATTTTAAACTTTCATTTTGAAATAATTTCAGAGCTAACAAAACATTGTAAAAGTAGTACAAAGAATTCCCATATAATCTTCACCCAGAGTTCCAAATACTAAGATCTTATATAACCATATTACAATAATCAAAGCTAACAAAGTTCACATTAATATAATTAGGAAATCAAATATTACTGTTAACAGGTCTGTAGACTTTATTCAGATTTTACCTGTTGTGCCATTGATGTCCTTTTTTTGATCCAAGATCCAGTCCAGAATCACACATTGCCTTTATTTAATCTCCATTAATCTTGAACATATTAATATTTTTGAAGAATGCTGGCCAGTTATTTTTTAGATTATCCCTCAGTTTGAGTTTGTCTTACATTCTGTTAATTAATACATTTAATTAAATTCAAGTTATACGTTTTTAGCAAAAATAACCCCAAAGCCAAGGCCATGTGTCTTCAGTCCTCAGTGCATCATATCAGGAGGCATATGATTTGTCCTCTCGCTGGTGATGCTAACTTTGATCACTTGGTTAAACTGGTGTCTGCCAGATTTTTTCCACTATGAAATGACTGTTTTTTTCCTCTTTGAAATATATATTTATGGAGAGATACTTTGAGATAATGTAAATATTCTCATCATACATTCCTTTACTAATTTTAGCATCCATTGATAATTCTTGCCTGAAACAATTATTACTTTAGAATTTGCCAAATGTTTTTTATTTCCATCATTCTTTCTACATTTATTAGTTGGAATTCTCTTGAAAAGTTTTCCCTGCTCTCTAAATATTATATTTATATCAGTTTGGATGCATGGGTTCTTATTCTGTGGGTTATTATCTTTTGTTATAATTTATTTTGTTGCTCACATATTCTCAGATTTGGCCATTGGAAGCTCTTTCAAGTTGATTTCTATGTCCTTTTGATATGACTCCATTGTGTTTTGATTTCTTGTATTACAAAATGTTCTGGGCTAATCTTATACTTTCCCTGCTCCAGGGCCAGAGTCAGCCATTTTTCTAAAGTGCTCTGCTTCCTTTACAGTATATTGGAAAATGGTACTCAGAAACCAAAATCTCAGCTCTAGGTATATTTATTTGACATTACAGTGTCATTGCTTCTAGGCCTGCTCAGTGAACTGAGCTAGGAAATATATTTAGGTATACACTGATAGACATTTTTATCTCTTTATTTTTCTATATGTATATATTAATAATCGTTAGTTCATACTGATATTTCTAGTTCAACACCATGATATCATTCTAGCCTTTTTTCATATTTATAACTCTTCTTTAGCAATGAAAAATGTGGTTCTTGTTATCTATAATATATTTACTTATTTTCCCAGTCCTAGAATACATGTAATTTTGGAATTACTAATTTGTAACTGAAAAACAAGCCTATTAATTAGTCTGTAATATTTGTGTATAGTTCTTTTTTATTTTATTTTTTTGTCTTTAGCCTGTGAATATGTTGTCAAAATCTACTTTCCAAAGTTTCTTAGGTCTTTTCTCTCCAAACCTCCCTTCACTCTTCACTGGGGTTACATTATTCATTTATAAAACATTTGTTTCTTTCTATTCCATTTTGGTTCATTTATTTCTATCTTATTCCATTTTGGGTCCCCACTTCATCCTTATTATTTATTTATTAACACAACTGCGTGAAACATCAACATGGTTCTAAAAGACAGAACTATACAAAAGGTATGTCTAACCAATGGATTGTATACTTGAAACTAATATAAAAAGTACCAATCTCCACATCCATTTTACCCTTTTCCTATTCTTCACCCTACCTGCCCCACCATTAATCTCATTAGCTTCTCATTTGTTCCTCCTGTTTATTTCCTCCATATACACACAAATGACAGAAGCATGTATAAATTTTTCCCCTTATCAGTATATCCTGGAAATCGTTCCATGTTAGTTCATAGAGATGTTCCTTCTCCTTTTTTATAGCTATATAACACCCCATTGTATATGTGTACATTTATTCAACCAGTCTCCTAGGTTTGAACATTTAGTTTGTTTCCGATATTTTGTGATTACAAACAGTGCCACAGTCAGTAATCTTAATCTTGTACATGTATGTATTTTCATATCGTTGGAGGTGTATCTTCAGGGTAAATTTCTAAAGTGAATAGGTGGGTCAAAAGGTAAATACAAATGTAGCTCTGTTAGATATTCCAGTTCCTATCCAAGAGAGTCGTACCACTTTGTATCTCAGTGTAGTTTAATTTGTATTTCTCATTATGAATGAGATTGAACAGTTTTTCAAATCTGTAAGAGCCATTTTTATATATATATTTTTGGCAGTTGTCTGTTCATGTCTTCCCTTATTTTCTATGGCTTTCTTTGGTCTTTTTACCTTGCTTTTTAAGGATTCTTTATATATTAGGGATATTAGACCTTTATCTTTGACATATGTTGCAAGTATTTTTCTTAGTCTGTCATTTGTCTTTTGACTTTGTTTATGGTATTTTTTGTCATACAAATGTTTTATTATGTAATCAAATTTATTAATTTCTTATTGACTGGATTTTAAATCAGTTATTTATTTTTATGTTTTTCTGGCTTTATTGAAGTATAGTAATTAGTTGCTCGTATTTACATTGTACAATTTAATGAATTTTTTCAATTATAGTTGGCATACAATAATACATTTAGTTTTAGTTGTACAGCATAGTGATTAGAGATCTATATATAACTCACAAAGTGATCACCCCACTAAATCTAATACTCCTCATCCCCCTTACATATTTATTACATTGTTAACTATTTCCTTATGCTACACTTTATATCTCTATGTCTACTTAATAACTATCCATTTGTACTTCTTAATTCTTTTGCACTTTTTCGCCTTCTCCCCGAACCTTCCTCCCATCTAGTAGCCCTCAAAATATTCTCCATATCTATGAGTTTATTTCCATTTTTGTTGTTTATTTCGTTCTTTAGATTTCATGTGTACAGGAAATCATCTGGTATTTGTTTTTCTCTATCTGACTTATGTTAGCGCAATACCCTCTAGGCCCATCAAGGCAATACCTTTTTCCATCCTCTTCTCTTTAGTCTGTGTGTGTCTTTTAATCTGAAGTGAGTCTCTCATAGGCAGCAAATGTAGGGGTCTTGTTTTCTTTTCCTTTCAGCCATTCTGTCTTTTAATTGGAGCACTTAATTCTTTTCCATTTGAGGTACTTGTTGATAGGAATGTAGTTATTACCATTCTTTATTCATGTTTTTGATACATATTTTTTCTTCTTAAAGAAATCCTTCCAACAGTTCTTGTAATACTGGCTTGGTGTTGTAAATTCCTTTAGCTTATTTTTTATCTGGGAAGCTCTTTATCTGTCCTTCGACTCTAAATAATAGCTTTGCTAGATAAAGTATTCTTGGTTGTAGATCCTGGGTTTTCATCACGTTGAATATTTTGTGCCAAGCCCTTCTCTCTTGCATAGTTTCTTTTGAGAAATCAGCTGCCAGTCTTATGGGTGCTCCCTTGTAGGTAACTAACTGCTTTTTTCTTGCTGCTTTTAAGATTCTCTCTTTGTGTTTAACCTTTGACATTTTAATTGTGATGTGTCTTGGTGCAGGCTCCTTTGGGTTTCTGGTTTTTGGGAATCTCTGAACTTCCTGGGATTGTATGTCCATTTCCTTCACCACACTGGGGAAGTTTTCCATCATTATTTCCTCAAATATATATTCAACTTCTTGTTCTCCCTCTTCACGTACCCCTATAACACGAATGTTGTGACATTTAATTTTGTCTCATAGGTTTCTTAAATTATTATTATATTCTTGGTTACTTTTTTCTTGCCATTCGGTTTGGGTGTCCTTGGCTTCCTGGGGACATCCTCTATATCTGTGGTTTGATCTTCTTCATCCACTCTATTGATTCCCTCTAATACACTCTTCATCTCAGATAATGTGTTCTTCATTTCTGACTGATTCCCTTTTATAATTTCCATTTCCATTTTTGTTTTTTTATCTCTTTGTTAAAGTTTTCACTGGATTCATCTGCACTTCCTCTAAGTTCATTGAGCATCTTTATAACCAGTGTTTTGAACTCTGCATCTTTTAGATCGTTTGACTCCATTATTTCTGTCTTCCCATTTTGGCTGCCTTTTTCTGTCTGTTTCTATGTACTAAGCAAAGCTCCTAAGTCTTATTAGTGTGGCTTTGTGTATTAGGTGTCCAGTAGCACCTGAGAGGGGTTCAGCTGCAGGCCAAGTTTAGCCCCAGCCCGTGCCTGAAGAGGCCATGCCAGAAACCACAGTCAGCTGCCATCAGTGTGAGTCTTGGAGTTGGCTCAACAGTTGCATGTGGCTTGGGTGGAGCTGCAAGTTGGGGGAGGCAGAGTTCCAGGGAAGCCTCTGGGCAGAGCGACCTCTGTTATCCAGTTTGATGACATCTCAGCTATGGCAGCTCTGAGTCTGCACACTGGGAAGGTGGGGGACTCAACAGAGGGAAAATGAATACCACCGGCACTTCCGCCTCTGGCCCTCGCTCAGACAACTCAGTGTCCTCCTGTAAGTTCCTGGTGCCCCCATCTCTCCCCCACCCCACCCCGTGCAGTTGTCGCAGCACTGGTGCTCAGAGCTAGCAGGTCCATCAGTGCAAAAGTCTGCTCGTGGACACGGCACCTTTAAGAGACGTCTGTAGCTGCTAGTTGCCGATGTTATGGCCTCTGTTCTACTAAGCCGCTAGGGACCAGGTAGCCTCGTGTCTTCGCTCCCTCCTCCCTTCCATTATTTAACTCTTCCTAGTTGTAGTGCTTCTGTTCATCTAGATCCCAAGTGACTTTGCTTGCTGTTTGCTCTGTGTTTCTGTCACAACTTTGATTTGGTCGCAAAAAAGATGAACAAAGCCTCTATCTATGCCATTTTTTCCCCTTCTCTTTAAATCATAGTCTCTAGCTGCACTGAGGTTAAAGAGGAGTTCACTTTTTTGCACTTGTATCCTTTCATAGTTTGCATTTATGAACATTCAGATACAAGTTTTTGAACAGTTTTTATATCTTTGTTAAATATCTAGTCATATGGAAGTGTGTGTTTAATTTTATAACATATACAATACTCTTTTCCAAAGTGGTTGTACTGTTTTTCATTCCCTCTACCAATATTATTGGAGTTCCATTTGTTTCACATATCCTTACTGACACTTATTATTATCAGTCTTCTTACCTTAGCAAGTCTAGCAGATGTGTAGTAATATGTCATTGTGGTCTTAATTTGATTTTCCCTGATGGCTAGTGATGTTTAGCATCTTTTAATATGCTTATAGAAGACTTCATTTTTGTGACGTGTCTGTTTAAATATTTTGTTCATTTTTAAAATTGGGAAGTTATCTTGTTGAGTTGTAACAGTTCTTTATGTGTTCTGCATACAAGCTCTTTGTCAGATACGTGTTTTACAGATATTTTCCCCAGTCTATGGCTTGCTTTCTTATTTATTTAAATTGTGTCTATTGAAAGCAATTTTTATTTTGATGAAATTCATTTTGTCAGATTTTTTATTTTCTAGAAAATTGGCGCGTTTTATGTTCTTTCAAAGAATTTTTTGCCTAATCCTGTGTTATAAAGATTTATGTTGTTTTCTTCTAAAAGATTAATATATTTTTTTTGTATTTAGGTTTACGGTCCAATTGATGCCACTTTTTGTATAGTATGAGGTGATGGTAGACATTCCTTTTTTATTTCCATATAGGTATCAAGTTGTTCCACTACCATTTTTTGAAAGCTATGTTTTCTCTCATTGAATTATTTCAATAACTTTGTTGAAATCAGTTGACCATATAAGTGTGTGTCTGTTTCTGCACTCAATTCTGTTCCATTGATCTGTATGTCTTTCTTGACACCAATATCAAATTGTTTTGACTACTGTAGCTTTATAGTAAGTTTGATTAAGGCAATACAAGTCCTCTACTGTTTTTGTTTTTGTTTTTTTGGTCAAGATTGTTTTGGCTCTTCTAGGTCCTTTAACTTTCCACATAAATTTTAAAATAAATTTGTCGCCTTTTTAAAAATGCTTGTTAAGATGTTGATTGGGATTGTGTTGAGTCTTTAGTTCAGTTTGAGGAGAGTTGTTATCTAAACAGTATTGGAGCCTATCCAGTTTATGATTATGGCATATCTATTTAGGCCATCTTTAATATCTTTCATCAAAGTTTTATAATTCTCATTGTGTATGTCTTGCTTATCTTGTGTTACATTTTATTCCTAAGCATTTTATGTGATTATAAATGGAGTTACTTAAATTTTTTTTACTTTCTAATTGTTCATTACTAGCGTATAGACATGCAGTTAGTTGACTTTCATGTACTGACCTTGAATTTTATGACCTCACTAAAGTGGATTTTCTGTTAGCTGCTTTATGGATTCTTTAGAGTTTTCTAAGATGATGACATATATACCTTGTGCTTTCTTTAGTTTACTTCATTCATTTGTTTGTTCTTTTTCAAATTGGAAATTTAATTCAACTAATATTCTTTCATTTTTATTGGTGAAAGTGTTTAGTGCTTTTTTTAAAAATCACTGCTTTAAATGTATCTATGAATGATGTTTTAGTTATTTTTTAAAAGTTCTTTCATTTGTATTTTCCTTTTCACTGAAGAGTTGTTTAATAGGAGATGTCTTAATAGAAGATGTAGTTGTTTAATAGAAAGTAAAATTAATAGTGCTAGGGCTGCCATAACAAAATACCACACAGACAGGGTGGTTTAAACAACAGAAATTTATTTTCTTATAGTTCTTGAGGCTAGAAGTCTGAGATCTTAAGTTGTTGGCAGATCGCTTTCTCCTGAGGCCTAGCTCCTTGGCTGGCGAAGGGTTACCTTCTTCCGTGGCGTTTTCTCTCCGCACATGTATCCCTGGTACCCCTCCTTTTTATAAGGACACCAGTCATATTGGATTAGTACCTACCCATACAACTTCATTTAACCACAGTTATCTCTTTAAAGCCCTATCTCCAAATACAGTCACATTCTGAAGTACTTGATGGGTTAGGACTTCAGTGTATGAATTTTGGGAGACACAATTCAGTCCATAACAGAAAGTTTTTGAAATTCCAGGTAGGAGGGTTTTCGTTGTTGTTGTTAATTTCTAGTTTTATTGCATTGTGATCAGAGGGTATTGTTTCTGTTTCTTAAGGAACACAGTAATGTTTCCTTTGTGACATACTGTATCAAGGGCAGGACTAATAAAGCAAGTGAGGCCCCAGGGAGCCCTAAAATGAACTTCTTAAATTTTGTACCCTGGGCATCTCATTTGCTTCACCCCAGTCTTGTACTCAGTCCTTCATCTCAGTTCTGTAATATGTGATCATCAGTTTTTGTGAGTGTTACATAAAGACTTGAAAAGAAAGTGCAAAATTATAAAACTATAAAGTTTGATGTATAAATCCATGAGATCTACCTTATTAACTATGATGTTTTGGTCTTCTATGTACTTATTTCCTTGTCCACTTGATTTTCATCTACAAAGAGTGATATTAAAGTGTTCTATTATTATTAATTAGTGTGTTTGTGTATCTATGACTCCTTGCATTTCTTGTAGTTTTTTTCTTTTTGCTTCATAAAGATGATTGCTGTATTATTTGGTATATAGATAATCATAACAGTTATATCTTAATTGTGAATTGTGGCAGCATTTAAAAGTGCTTTTTTTTTGTCATTTAATTTTTTTTTGCTTGAATTCCACATTGTCCAATACCATCATTACTCCAGTTTTATTGCTTCCATTTGCCCGGTATATCTTTGTGTCCTTATTTTTAGTCTTTCTTTGTTTTTTAAATGTCTTTCATGTGTAACATATAGTTGGGTCTTGCTTTGGATCCAAATCATAGATCTTTTTATTTTAGTTGATGAATTAAGTCCATTCACATGCAGGGAGCTCGTGCTCACTACAAAGACTTCCAGTCAGGAACCTGAGGAATCTCTTGCTGGGGAATGATTTTCCTCTTTTTACTTACAGATATTTTGAAGTTTGGGCATTTTCTGTCTCCCATTGTGAAAGATTTGATTTTGTGTGGCTTTATTTGTTCTCTTTGCTTTTCTGTATTGTTTTGCAAGACATACATACCACAGAACTAGACATCTGCTGTTATCTTCAGCTACTCAGAAGCTCCCTATATATATATTTTTTTTAATTCTAAAACTTAATGGCTTCCTAATAATGTAGATTAAAGTTGAGAGGTTTTTAAATGTTATGTTGATTAAGTCGTAGGTTATGTTTTGGGACAAGGTTTTTGATTTTTTATTACTCTGGAAAGAACTACTTTAGGCAGCGATACATATATTTAGGAATGTGAGGTTTTATGAACGATTAATTTAAATGTGATCTTCTATAATTCTAGAATCAAATCTGTAATGGATTTTGAGAGACAGTGTTGTCCTACCCTTTGCTTGTCGGTGGGTACATTTTTCAACTGTTCAAGACTGGAAAGTATTTTCTCTGTCCCAGACAGTCCAGAAAGGAGAGAGAGACCCACCCTGGGGACCTTACTCTGTTTTATCTACTATTGTTCTACAGTTTGGCCAATTAGAATCTTTTCTGTTAGAATTTAAGCCTGTTTCTTCTGGTTTGGGCTTCTTGTTGCCATAGTGATAAAATGTTCAGCATTCTGTCATTACATGAAGATAATAATGAACTTGACCCTTATGTTTTTTTTTCTATATAAAATAGCTTCCATTCCTTTAGCTTTTATTATAAATCATTTTCTATTTCATTAGTTACTTTGATAATTTTTTTTTAGTTCCTCTTCAGTTTCTCCAGATCATTTATAGTGTGTAATTGACCCCAACTTATTTTAAAATATGGACATAGTAACCAACATAAAATGTAGCAGAAGGAGTAATTAGCAAAATTTGCATGGCTTTTGTTTTGTAATGTTTTACAATTGTGTTTTTCTCATGGCAGTTTTGATTTTCTGGTTTATAATTCTACATCAGCCAGGTCTATTTTGATCATTCGTTAAAATAATCATAATTGCAGCTTGTCTTATTTAGAATTTGTAAGATGGCTTCTCCTAAACTGGATTACTGTCTGATGCCTTAGCAACACATTATGCACTCTTCCACCAAAGGCCGTTTGCTCAGGCCGTTCCTTATGTTTATCAAAACTCTACCTATAAGATTTTAATCTCCAGGTAGTTTTCTCTCATCTTCCTAGACAGACCTGATTTCTCATCTATTCTGTGCCCATAGTTGTAGAGTTTTTCATAACAAAAGCAGAAATTTATGTTGTTTTATTAATACGTGAACACAACTTGGCTGCCAGAAGTCAAAATCTTTATCGTTGTGTCTACCAGTTTTCATAGCATGACGCCTGGTGTTAATACGGTCACTTAGTAAAAATGATTGTTGAGGCAAAATATATGAACTATGGATTCTTAATAATGTGTTTTGTTGGGTTGTGATTTTCAGGTTAAAACTTCAACAACAAATTGTGAATATTGAAAATGCAGAGAAAGAGAAAAATGAAAATTCTGACCTGAAGCAGGTATTTCCCTTTTTTTAAAATTAAATTTATTAAGGTGACATTGGTTAATAAAATTATATAGGTTTCAAGTGTACAGTGCTATAATGTATCATCTGTATATTGCATTGTATTCACCATCCAAAGTGAAATCTTCCATTCCCACATAGTTGACCTACTTTACCCTTTTCTACTTCTTCCCCACTCCCCTTTCCCTGTGGTAACCACTAAACTGTCGTCAGTATCTATGAGTTGTTGTTGGTTTGCCTTGTTTGTTGCTTTGTTTTTATTTGTTAAGTGCTTCTTTAAATCTGTGTTTTGAATCTATTGGAATTTTGTGTATCAGTTTTCTGAAAATCTAATCATGACAATTTATAATAGATGATGTTGATATGTAAAAATGTTTAAACCTCTTTGAACTCTAGTAAGCTTGTTTTGCCAACTGCTGTTTTTCTTAAGATATTTTTATATGCTATGGCCCATGATGAATTTTTTGTTTGTTTGTTTAAAAGACAGTATTTCGATATTCTGAATTTTAAACATTAATTCGATAGATTATCCAGTTTTTAAGTTACTTGCATGATTGACTTGTAACTTTATATTTCTTATTCTGTGAGCTATTTCTTATTCTATCCCTGTGAAATCTAAGAGTTGTACTTATGAGGGAAATTTATATTTTAACTAAAGTTATTTGGGTTCAGGAAAGATTTATATGAGGAAAACATGGAAGAGTGTTCTTTTCTGAATTCTATTTAATTTTTAGTTTAAAATGGTTTATTCCCTTTAAATTTTGAAATAGGATTCCGTTTTTAAGATTCGTGTTTGCATGCTAGCTGGCATTGCTCTGTATATGCAGTTATAGTGTCTTAAGTCTCAACTAGGAGAGTGCATAGTGTTTGAAGTTATCTAGTAATATCATTGGCATTGGGCTTTCTGTCATCCTATAGATGTGGAGATGTAGTAAGCTCCTTGAATGTTGCTTGTTTATTCAGGTGCAATACTGATATACTATTTACAACTCCAGTTAAAAATAAAGAATAGTTCTTCATGGAGAAATTCATTCTAAAATAGAAATCTGAGACATACCATTTTACTTTATTCCGCTGACGATTGCTCTTTGGGCATATGTATTCCTGTCTAATTTGGCTTTGCTACCATCAGGCAGTATGGGATTATCTCCCATTAATTTATTGTATAAAGAATGTGGTAGAATCTTGAGTCTCATAATGGGATCTTTAATCCCGAGGCTCTTGACTCTCTGCTTCCAAACTTCTCTCAGAGAATGGCTAAAAGAATTGAAAGAAGTGAAAAGGAGGACTTGGTTATTAGTTGATAAAATGCCTTGTGGGGGAAGTGGGTGTAACTGTGTTCTAAACGAAGATTATTTGGATATAACTTAAAAGCAATGTGAATCTTTCTAGCCTGTTAATCTATAACTAGATAATCACAGGCATACCTCCAAGATACTGCAGGTTTTGTTTCAGACCACTGCAGTCAAGCAAATATTGCAATAAAGTGAGTCGTAATCTTTTTGCTGGTGGAGGGTCTTGCCTTCAATTTGTAAAAAAATTCAACATCTGTGAAACAGAATAAAGCAAAGCACAATAAAATGAGGTATGCCTGTAGCTATTTATGAGAAGAAGTATTTCCAGATAAAGGTAAGTTGGGATGGAGAAAAGGCCTGATTGACATTTTATGGTTTGATAAATAGCTCTAGAGGCCAAGCAATCTGTACCATTTATTAGATTTCTCAGAGTATAGGTACATGGGAGTGGGAGAATGAATTTCCTTAGCAGCTTTCCCAGCTGACCTGCTTTACTAGGAGGTTAGAGGAAGTGTAATAGGAGACTAATAGTTGAATTCTCTCTTCTCACCTTCCTGCTCTCTGATAACCTTTCTCCCTACTCCTAGTACCTCTTGACCAGCCTGCTTAGTTTTGGAAGAAGAAAGATGACTCAGTGGTAGATCGAGGAATATGGTTCTTGATACTCTTCAGTTATATTAAGAAATGATCCCATGCTAATGGGACTAATGCTGCAGCTTTTTATTATTTCACTTCAGGTGTCCTTAAAGATACTTCAGTTGGGTGGGTCCTTTGTGAAGAAGATGTTCAGTATCCTCTGCCCCTCTTACATTCCACTGAATTTGTTTAGGGGCCTTAACGGTTCTCTTTTTCTTCTCTTTTAAGCAAATCCGTAGTTTGCAGATTCAAGTAACCTCACTTTCTCAGTCAGAGAATGAGTTGCTGAATTCAAACCAAATATTGAAGGAAATGGTGGAGCGATTTTTTTTTAAATTTAAGAAGCCAAGCTGAAAAAGCACAACTGGAAGTTGAAAAGTAGAGTTTGCTCTTTTCTATCTGCAAATCGTTTCATCTTTCTGCTATATATAGTTCTTTTAATGAAGATTCCGTATTGAATGTGTTTTGGGAACTAGTTACAAATACCCCTTGACAGTGTACAGTGGTCTGAGGTATTGTCCTTTCTCGAGAATGAGCTTTATGGACTTGTGAATTAATTAAAAAAAAAAAAAACATTTAGGAAAGAAGGCCTTTTAAAGTTCTGCCTGACCACAGTATTCTGAAAACCCTCAAAGAAAAACTTACTTATTCATTGAGTAAACTAGTACATTTCTTACTTCAAATATCTAAATTATTCTAGACAACAGAAAAAAATTTGGGAGTGTGCAAAACTTCCTAGAATTAAAACTATAATCTTTTAGATTTTCTCTTTGAGAAGCTCATTTATTTGTTTAGTAGTAGACAGTATAGTAAACTGGTTGGAAGATGATTTTGCTGATATTCAAGATCTTATATTCTCCGGGAAATTTTGTTTAGATATGGTAGAGAACTGTTTTGTATTTGTTTTGTCTTTATAACAGGTTAGTATTGTAAGTTTTTTTTTGAATCTACAAAATATTATGTTCAAATTTGTTCTTCTGAAGGCTACCTTGCTACATAAAATTTTCTTTAATTTTTCTGTTATTTCACATTTTAAGTCTTACCCATGCATTTATATTTATAGTTGAATTTCAAGAAAAGGAAGTTAGCAAGATATTTGTCCATAATGTTTTTGACATTCCGTAGGGTCCAAATTATTTTGCTTATATTTTGCAAAAAATGGAAATTTGTATTTTGGACTCCTCAAATGTTTGATTGAAATGTACTTAACAATTCTAATGACAATATTGCTAGCAAATTTAAGTAATTCATCATTGGTTTCTGAATGTTATTCATAGGATTGTATAGCAGAAAATAGCTGGACTAGGTAGGAGTCTATAGAATGTGATTTTGGTCTTAACTAAAACACTTAAAATCTGTATGATTTTAGGCTTGTAATCTGACTTCTCAGAATTTATAAATCTCATTTGTACTGCCTATATTAATGAAACTAAGAATTATATAAAGTAAGCAGAAGAGCTTTAAAGATATGATATTATAATGTTAATTTAAAATATCATTGATGTGAATTTTACTCTAGCTAGAAAACATGCCACATTAAGATTTGATACCTGAGTTGATTTTTAGCTAACTTTATTAGACTCAGTTTTTATAACTCAGTTTTTTATCATGATTCAGAGCTGGTTATCAAATGTTTGTCCTGTCATTAACTAGGTATAAGTCTTCAAGAAAGTTAGTTAACTGCTCTAAGCCTCAGTTTCCTCATTTATAAAATGGAGATGATAGACATACCCAACTCAAAGGGTTCTTATAAAAAAATAAATGATAAGCACAGTGCAGGGTTCATAAGAAGTACTCAGTAATGGTGGTAGTGCAGATATGCGGACATGCAAGAATGCCTACAATTGGATAATTAAGGATGTGGTGGACCAAGTAGTAAGTTTGATTGTACTTGTGATCATGTCTGTTTAATACTAAGAGTTAACTTCTATGTTTTGCATATATTCTTCTGATAGGACATTGGAAGAGAAACAGATACAGTGGTTAGAAGAAAAGCATAAGCTTCATGAGCGTATCACAGATAGAGAAGAAAAATATAATCAAGCTAAAGAGAAATTACAGCGAGCTGCAATTGCCCAGAAAAAGGCAAGTGTTCTTATTAAAGTGATTTTGATAGAGTAAAACATAATTAACTATTTTAGAATAAAATATATAATTAAAACAGATTTTACTGGTACGTTTACTTTGATATTTAAACATAATGTTTTGCTGTCAACTTTGCAGAGATCAGTTGGGAAAATCCAAAGTGCTCAACCAAGTTTATTTCTAAATTTTGTGTACAAGTCAGTTTTTCAGAGCTGACATGCATTTTCCCACCAAGACAGTGTTTTTCAGTGATGAAGTTTCTAGACCAGCCTTATTTAACTGCAAATCTTATTTAACTGCATTTAAATTACAAGATGATTAGGTCTATTTCAACTGTGCTTAACTAATACTTGTAGCATCATTTTTTGTGTTTAAAATGCTTTTTTGTTTCCAACTCAGGAATATAGAAGCAAGTATCTCTTTGCCCCAGCAGTAGGAACTAACTAGGACCCCCACTGGCTTCTAAAACAGCCATGACCCTTTTTAAGCTTCACTTTTGCAGGCATATTTTGTACAGAACCTAAAAACTTAGTTTTTAGTCCAGGGCATCGTGGAAATAATGTAATTAGATGATTCACCTGTCAGTAGTTTTTAACTTTTTTTCTACTTCAACAAACGCAAGGAATGTAGCATGGCTCCAGCAGTAACCATGACTCACTGTGGCAGTGAGTCAGTAGTTATTGTCAACAAGATTGGTGAGTGTGGTGTTATGCGTTGAGACATCACAAATGATTTGATATGTCTCCATTTGATAAGTTCTCTTAGTGGCATTGGTTTAGGGGAGGTAAGAAGGTCTGAGATGAGAGGAAGGTGCTTTTGGTCATAGCTACACCAGTATCTTAATGCCTAAATGTTTATTGGAAAGGTTAGCCGTTCATATTTACATAAGAGAAGAAAACTGTAAATCACTTACATATTTTAAATTTGGAAACCAAGGACACTGTTCCTAGTCACCTATTTATGTTATTAGATATAATTGCCAATTGCATCCTGATAGTTGGAGTGAGAACATGCATGAGAAGTCTAAAAGTCATTGCTTCCCCCATGTTCTTGGCTTTTTTCTTTCCATAATGCTAGAAGTAATATAACAATGAGATTAGAAAACACCATTTACTGTATAGGAATTCACGTGAAAACAACATAATACTTGTGTTGTTTTCCATGTATATCACTTTTTCTTTCAGGCCATGTACATACTGGGTATCGAATGGGTATTGAGATTTCGGTGAATTTTTATATGGCTTGCGATGATCTTAGAAATTTTATTTATGCTTCTTTGTACTCTTTGAAACGTAGAAGCTTCTGAAACCAGATGTTAGCAAGAAATCACTAGAAATTATAAAAGCTGATTTGATCTTTTCACAGAGAAATTTTTATGTTGAGGTTTTAGCAATAAGCATCTTAAAGATCAGTTTCTAATTATCGAGGTTATTTTGGGTTGACTTCTTTTGGAGCAAAAGTGACATCCAGTGGCGAGAGAGTTTATCAACTAATCTCAGGTATGCCATAAAGAAGAGAGGTGATATTTTTAAGAAGCCTGCAAAATAACTTCTTTAGTAGTGTGAACCAGGATGAATTTTTTTCTTGTTGAAATATCTGCCAATTGGTGGATGTGCACACAGCAAATATCCATTTCACTTTTTAAAATGTGATCTGTAGATTATGATTTGAAGCCATAGAAATTGTTAAACTCAGTCGAGTGAATAATTATGACCCAGAGCTGTTCTACCTTGGAGGACACTGCCCTAGAGGCTTACAGTTTTACATCAATTAAAGTGGAAAAACGCAATGTGTGTGACATAGAAATACTATAAAAAATATATACAAGTATATATAATTTTAGAGCTAGAAACAATTTAGCATTCAGATAGTTTTTATAGATTAGGAAACTGAAGTGGTGGTAGGAAGCCAAGATCACTTGACTAGTAAGAGTCATCACTATGACTAAAACCTACATCTTCCAATTCTCAATCCTGTGCTTTTTCTGCACTGTTACTCTTTTAATTTCCCTCTTTCTTTGATTCCAAATACTTTACTGTTTTTCTCTTCATTGTAGCCATAATCCATATGAGTATTATTTCCTGGGGTAGAATAACCACTAAAAATTCTATAATGTGAACCTGTTCCCACTCGAGTTAAAGATAATGCTTCCATTTGAAAATTTTGGCTGTAAGATTAAATAAATATAATTTATAAAAGTGCAACAGACTTTTTGGGTTCTTTAAATTACAAAAATCATAATGTTCTTATGCAGTAAAACTAAAACAAGTCACAAAATATTAACTCTAGGGCAGAAATCACGATTCTTTAAAGTTATTTGCTGTGAGAGGGTCTTATAATTGGGAAGCAGCAGCTTTATTTTTTTCCCCCAGGCTAGCTAAGATGGCTCACTGTTTATTTATGGCTCCAACCTTTAAAGCATAAAGCTATGTCATTTCTGGTAAGTGTTTTTTGATAGAGTGTTTACATAATGTTATTTTGCTGTGTTGATTAGTTTGGTAAAGCATGACCAGGTGTCTTGAGCTGGGGTGCCCTTCTGTGAGTGATGACTTCTCTATATTTTCTCCACACATTGTTGAAGTGTGAGTATGAAGAGAGATCTTTTGGTATAAGTTGTATTTTTCCTTTTGAGGTCCTTGAATTAACAACTTGTTATTGCTATTCTAAAGTATATCTCTCTGAAATAATTCTTGGTTAGATACTATTATGAATGTTTTTAGAGAAAAAAAAAGAACCGTACCATAGTCTTGAAGTTGTAAAATATCTATTGATTATGTTGTGCAGCCTTACATTATGCTAGGAGAAAATAAAAGCCATAATTAATTCTTGCCTTTGATGACCATATATATATAGGTAGAGAAATAAAATAACATGCAATACCTAAAGAATACTATTAATCACTCCCTGGTGATCTGTGTGGACACGAGTTTGAGAACTAGTAGTGTACTAGAGAAGAAACCTTGAAGACAGGGATGCCATTTAGGAAGCTGTTATAATAAACTTAAAATGAGATAAGAAGTCTGGAATTTGGGCTAAGGATATAGGAATGAAGATGCAAGGTGACTTCCAGAAGTATTCTGAAGGAAAAAAAAATTACAGCATGTAGTGCTAAATAAGAAGAAAGAGCAAAATTGAAGTATTTTAGCCGTGAGAGGGAACAAATGGAGTTGTCATAATGGAATTAAGAACATGTGTCAGTTGAGGAGTAGAAAGAGAAGATATATTTGATTAAACACATGTCAGTTATGAAATGATAGCAATGTATCCATATAGACATGTCCTAGACTCTCAAGTGAAGATATTGTGTAGATAAATAGAAATAATGGAATGCAAAGCTTGGAGATGAGTCTTCAGATTAGAGAGAGATAATTAAGCATTTAAGAGTTTGAAATTTTTGAAGAATAGAAGGACAGAACTAAGTTGACTTGGAAAGTGGAGCTTGAGTTAGTGGAGAATGGACAGAGGTAGAAGCTAGAAGGTGGTAAAAGGGGAATCCCAGCTGTGATACTTATATTAGTATTCTCTTGATTTTTCTAGTACTCCTTTGTGTTGTAATGTTTGTAACACTAAGACATCCATTTGACTATTCTATGACTGTACTAGACTGCTAAAGTCAATATTAAAATTAGTCTTTATAGCCAGTTCGCCCTCTGGACTTTCATTTCTTTCAGTAGAAGGCCATTCTTACAATCCCTTCGGAGTCAGATGTTTGATTCACCCTGAGGGCTCCCTTTCCCAAATCTAGTCAATCACTATATTAGCTTCCTATGGCTGCTATAACAGATAATTTCAACTCTTGGCTTTTTTTAATGAGTGGCTTAAAACAACAGAAATTTATTCTCTCACCATTCTGGAAGTTAGAAGTCCAAAATCAAGGTGCCAGTAAGGCCATGCTCCCTCCAAAAGAGAACCTGTTCCTTGCCTCTCTCCTAGCTTCTGATGATTGTTAGCAATCCTTGGTGTTCCTTAGCTTTAGAAATATCACTTCATTCTCTACCTCTGTCTTCATAAGGTGTTCTCCCTATGTGTCTGTGTCTCTGTGTCCAGATGTCTCTCTTTTTATGACACCAGTCATATTGGATTTCGGGCCTATCCCAGTCCAGTGAAACCTCATCTTAACTTGATTATATCTGTAAAGATTCTTTTTCCAAGTAAGGTCACTTTAGAGTGTTTTTAACACCACCAACAAATTTTCTAATACTCTGGACACCACTGAGTGTCCAACAGTTCTGTTAAATGTTGGTATTATATCAGATTCCATAAATTAAAGAGTTCAGTCTCACAAGACTGCCCTTATTGCAGATGCCAATTCCCAGGCCACCTGTACTTCTGACCAGCTGGCTATAAGTTAGGAATTCCCATGACACTCTCCTCAGGTTCAGTACTGCTAGAATGTCTCACAGAACTTAGGAAAACATTTTACTTACACCTACAAGTTTATATTAAAAACAAAAGGAACACCAAATGGAAGAGATGTGTAGGGCAAGGAATGTAAAGGAAAGACACAGAGCTTTCATGCCCACTTAGCAAATCACCAACTTGGAAGCTTTCCGGGTCTCATTGTTCAAGTCTTTATAGAGATCAGTCTCTTTCCCCCTTCCAGAAATAGAGATTGGGGAGTAGGGGGTAGGGTGGGGCTGAAAGTTCTCATCTTCTCTGGTGACCAGCCCCATCCTGAGGCTATCTAGGGGCTCCACCCTAAGTCACCTCATCAGCTTAAACTCAGGTATGATTGAAAAGGCCTGGTTATGAATAACAAAAGATACTCCTATCAGTCAGGAAATTCCAAGAGTTTTTGAAGCTCTGTGCTAGAAACCCAGGACAAAGACCAAATATATTATATCATTGTCACATTCTGAGGTTCTGGGTGCACATAAATATTTGGGAGAAACTATTCAACCCAGTACAATCACTAGGGCCTGTGAATTCTTCCTTTATGACGTCTCTCATATTTCTTCCCACTCCATTTTTTTTCCTATTGCTAGCATCTTAGTTCAGAC